ACTTTTGTATCTTCCATTTTTCAACTCAGAAAAGAGACTGACTTAATATAAATTAGTATTAGAGAAAGTAAATCACTCTAAAATTTAGCTCGCAGCAGATATAATCAGTAGTCTTGGAAAATATTCCTTATATTTAATTATTGGTAAATAATTTTTTTTTTGAGACTGCAAGTACCAAGGGTTTAACTCGTGGCGTGTGAAATTTGAGCCAGTGTTCATTAGTCAACTGATCCAAAGCCACACTTAAGTTGTTCGAACTTGGAGTTTTTTTTAGTTAGAAAGTTTATTAACAAATTCACTTTCTGTGTTAAATTAGAACGAAATTATAAACCAGCTGTAGAATAACTGAATTAACTAATTAAGCTAAAAAAGAATTTTTTCATTTTTTCAAAAGTAGTTTGGTAATTTTAATATTCAACGCTTTATTTTTTTCTTAAAAAAAAATCCATTTACATACTGTGTAGTCATTTATTTTCAATGCAGTACCATTGTGGCTCTATTAATTATTGCAAACTTTTTCAGATCCGTACCGGGTCTGTTTGCTTTATTCCATATATTGCAATGGTTATAATTTCCATATATCGTAACGTATTGTACTGTTACACATCTGTTTGAACATACCTTTTATTTAAGTAGTATATTATTCAAAAATTATTTTTACTATCATTTATTACAAAAAATTTTGTTTTCGCTATTTTTAAATACTTTTAGAATATATATTTTTTTTTTATCAAAAAGTAATAACTTCTAATTACAATATTTTTTTTAGAATTTTTGAATTTTTATAAGTAAAAATTAGCAATTTTTCTTAGTATATTTTTGTATATATGCAAAAAAATTGTTTACTGTTGTTTGTTTAATTAAAACACAGCAAGAAAAAGTGGATGACTTTAGCACTGATTCTTCTTCGCTCAATATTGAAGACGATGCAGTCAATGTTGTTGATATACTTACAACAACAATAACAACACCATCAACAGAAAGTACTACAAAAACAATAACAACTGAAAAAGCACCGACAATAATAGATGAATTGGGAATACTTTCGCCATCCATCCATCCACCCCATAATACTGCTGATGTTCTAGAATTTGAAGGCAATAAGGTGAAAATCACTGCCAACCAATAAGCAGACAGACATTAAAATACAATAAAATAATTTCTTTCTATTAATAATATTGATGCAAATGAATTGTGTGCGATACGAGCATGTGTAAAGTGATTTTTTGCACCTTTTATTTTAGCAATCCGCAATGCCAGAACGTTGTTGCCCAAGACCTCGTAATCACACCTAATTCCATTATCCATACATTGCCTAGATTTTGTCTTGTATGATTTATATTTTGTATACCAATATTCTACTCCTCTAAATATATTATATATACAATGTAAAAAGAATAAGAAAATAAGTAAAAACACACTTTCTTTCTTTCTTTTTTATACTTTGCCCATATTAAAAACAAAATTGCATTTGTCCATCACATACATATTCATACTTGCACTATAGATTTTGTGTTGCTAAATGGATTTTGTTATGCTTGTTCACTTTTTCACTTTTGTACACATTTTTTTAGTAATTATATATATAATATATGTATTTCTTTATGTGTCCATTTGAATTACTTTTTATTAAATTGTCAACACTTCAAGTTTTTATAGCATGTTTCTAATATTTCTTAATTTAATTACAAACATTGTCATTTTAATTAAAATATTTTTATTATAAATAATATAGAATGAATTAGAAGCTACTTCCTTGTCACCCAATCCGGAAGAAGTGAACGCCAGCCATGCAGTGGTAAATATATTCAATATTTTGTTAATAAATATACTTAATATCTCATTTTAGAGTTCATCTACACCCAAAACAGTTGATATTAATGAATCTGGCACATCATCTTCATCACCGTCGTCGTCGTCGTCTAGTACACAATTGGGCACCACTCCTACATCTGCAATGACTGACACAACATCTCCTGCAACATCATCCACAGAATATATCGAACCTAAAGTGGAAAATTCACCACCTATGATTAGAACACGTTTGCCGAAGTATGCTGTGACTTCAGGAAAATCTTTCGTTTTTACAATTTCTGACGATACATTCTACGATAGTGAAGATTTTACCAATTTACGTTTAGAACTTACAGACAAAGATGGTCATGAGTTGAGACCTTCATCTTGGCTACAATTCAATGCTGAAACGCGAGAACTTTATGGATTGTAAGTTAAAATTTATATAGTAGTGATTGTCACAATAAAATAGTGGCTCGCTCATATAGTCCTTCTTTTAAATGCATTATGCATTATCATAAGTTTCGATTTTCTGGTGCAAATACCAGATTTTTGAAATAAGTGGTTAGTAAGTTTCAGTTGTGGTTTTTGATAAATGTCACAGAGTCAGATTCGTCTGTGTTCTAAGTACAATTTGTATGTTTATACAATTTTTTAAATTGAAAGAATTACTGCTTTTATTATGTAGTGAAAAACTATAGTACATCATTATAAGAAGATATGTGTTCATCTATTTAGATTTTTTTGAGAAAATGGATTATGTGGTTATAAATTGGAACCGATTTTGAGAACCTGCAACGCTCAATTTTGTGCGAATGTCAGAATCCTGAAATAAGTGGTTAGCAACTATCAGTTGTTGATTTTGATAAATGCCACTGAACTAGACACGGTTGTGATTGGAAAGTTAAATATAACAGTTTTGTCTGTTTATTGATTTTTTTTATAATATAGGAATTACTAGCTTTGTTTTAAAATTTAGTACGTCAATAAGACATATTTTTGAATCCTAATTGTACATATATAAAAAATATACAGTATAGTATATTTATATTTATTAACATAAAATATTCTGTTATATCATATATAAGAAACAAAAAATTAATAGCACATATAACTTATTTTAAACATATATTTATCTATGTTGTTTATAAGATTGATAAAGTTTTATAGGTATATTTAAAAATGGCAGACTTTTTTAATTTAAAAAATATGTATAAAATCCTTTAAAAATACAAAAGAAAATGTTTTGTTGCCACAAATCTCGCTATTAAAGTCACTCTGTGGCTAAGTATATTGTTTTTTAAATTCTATATATGGGTTGTCCAATAGAACTATTTTCGTACACTTTTATAATGGAATGTAACAATCTTGCCAGGCCTGGACATTTGCAAAGGAAGTGTTCAGTTGTTTTTTACTCTGCATTGTTGCAGGTTTGAATAGTAGTTTCGATTAGTGAATATTGATATGAATGTGTTCATTCTGCAATATATTTAACATATAATTTATTACTCTTTGCAGACCTCTCGAAGACGCAGTATCTAAATATCAATATCGTTTATCTGCAACAGATTCGGGCAATGAATCAGTTACTGAAATGGTTGAAATGTCCGTGCAACAACATCGTGGAGTACGCAGCGTAAATCACGAAATTAATATTGCTCTTAATATTAATGTAGAAAATGCAAACAGTGTGGATTGGAAAATAAAGTTAATTAAATGTAAGTTAAAAATTTCTTATTGAAAAGTGAAAATTAATTTATAAATATTTTCATTTAGCTATTGCTACTACACTGGATGATAGCTCAACAAATTCCATTGTAGTGCGAGAAATACGTCAAACACCTACGGATCCTCATACTGCAACATTTGTCTATTTTAATGAAACTTTACCAACAAATGAATGTCCTGAGACTGAGTTTAACAATTTGATAAAACGTTTGGATGCTACTCGATTAAACGATTTAGTTTATCCTAAACTAAGTGTAAAATCTATAACTGGACAATTAATTGGAGCTTGTGAAAAGCAACAAATTTCGAAAAATAAATCAGTAACACATATAACTAAAAACTCACCACCTATGCCACGTAACCAAGTAGATCGTGTAAATGCTACAGTTGGACATTTACTTGTATATAAAGTTCCAAGTGATACCTTCTACGATCCAAATGATAATGAGCTAACACTTACGTTAAGAACAAAAGATAATAAAGAGTTAGGTGCAAGACATTGGTTGCAGTTTGATTCAAAAAATCAAGAATTTTATGGTATTCCTAAAAGTGGCGACATTGGTTCTGAAGAGTATTTATTAGTAGCTGAAGATAGTGGTGGTTTGAGTGCTACAGACGCGCTAGTTGTAGTTGTTAGCCATGCAATAAAAAAAGAATTTACTGTGTATTTTAAAGCACATTTAGCTATACGCCATGAACAGTTTAATGCTGATTTACAGCGCAAATTTGTTGAACGAATTTCGCAGTTATTCGGTGACCATACTACACAGAATATACAAATTCGATCTGTAACAACTCAACATGTTTCTGACAGTACAATTGTAAACTTTTATAATACAAGTTTATATAAATCGCATAATCGCTGCTCAGAAGAAGATATCGAAGCAGCACGTAATGTCTACTTAGTGCAAGAACATGTAGTTCACAATCGTGTAAAGAAGGTGTTTGGTCCAGAATTGAATTTAACAGATATGCAAGTTAATAACATGGTTTCATGTCATCGTAAGTTCATACCGAAGAACAAAATATCTGTGGCGCACGTATCTTGTAAGCACAATAACACATTTTCACATTGGTACACCTTAACAAGTTTCTTTGAATGAGTTATTCATGTGATAATGTGTTCTTGTGTTTGCAAGGTTTGTGCTAAGCATATTTTATAAATTATTTAATAAATAAATTTGTTTTATTTGCAGCAGACCTTGAAATACCACATCGTGAATTCATACCTACAAAGACTGAGGAACCAAGTCTTAAATCATCATTTGCTGACCATTACATGTACTCAGTCATTCTACCAGCTGTTATAATCATTTCCATGATTTTGATTGCTGCACTTGTAGCGTTGTGTCTGCACCGACGACGTCACAAAAGTGGTAAAATGGAACTAGGTATGATATTATAAAAAGTATTTATTAAATTAAAATTATATCTTTTTAAATGCTTGTATCCTTTACAATTATTAACAAAACACTTTTTTATGTTAAGGTGATGAAGAAGAACGAAAATCGTTTAAAACTAGGGGCATACCAGTTATATTTCAAGATGAATTAGATGAAAAACCAGAAATCGGCAACAAAAGTCCTATTATTTTAAAAGATGAAAAGCCACCATTGTTACCGCCATCTTATAATACATCAAACATGAATGGTAAATATTGAGAGTAAAATTTTTATAAATTTTTTTTGTTAAAGATATAGATACAAATCTATATACACCAGTAAAAGAAATTTACATCATGCATGCATATAAATATAAGTCACAAATTTTTACAGATAATAATAATATTCACATAATAACTAATAAGTACCTTGAATCAGGGTTTGAATTGCTGAAATAAATAAAATTCACAGCAATTTAAACTCTGCCTTTGTTCTAGTATAAAAAATCCCTATCGGATATTTATAGAATTAGCGAAAATCAAATAATCGTCGAAGTGTTAGTGACATTTACACTGACAATATATATAAAGAATATAAATTAAATTAAACATATAAGAAACTTTTAATTTAAAAATCTACAATAAAACTATATTAAATTAATTGATTAAGTTATTAATATATTGCAAAACATCTTAGTAATCAAAAAATTACTCGGACTAAAATTCTGCTGGAGTAATTGAGCCAAGTTGGTCTTCAATTCATGCTATGAACTATATACTCTTATTGAGAATTTATATTATAATTATAAATTTTTAATTATTATTTAAATTAGTTATAAATATTTTTTTGTCATTTATGATTTTATTCGATCTTAAATCACGAAATTGAGGCATGATTTCAATTTATCGGGAACGAATATATGATAAATGTTAAAACAAAGACATGCCTGTTTGTGTAGCCCCTTACATGAGTGCTGAATGGCTCTTGATCATCAAGTGCGAGGAGTTGTAAATTTAAACTTCAAACGCATATTGCATGTTGACAATCCTCTTGCAGAATATAAAATATTTCTTGTAAAAGAACTTAATCAATTAGTGTCCAACTGCTGTATCTTCTTACGTGCCACACAGTTGGACATCCCAATGACATCATATTTAGTAGAGTCCTGCCTGCAAGATGCATTCGTCGATTTCTTTCTTCATATCATGGATATATCGATGCCTATTGTAGCGGAGCAAACATCAGTGAATTCGATAATAAACAAGAACTAATAGCTCTCCACACATATACAGTATTCTCTTCAAGATTTCGGTTGCACTGCAACAAAGCTCTCAATAGCCCCCACTTAATATCTCTCATGAAGACCTTCCCTATAGAGCAAGATAAACAACAACTTGTCGCGCATAATTACGTTAATTCCCAATGAGTGTCCTAACTGCAGGGTTACCTACACGATGTTGCCTGTCTGTTTTCCGCCCGAATGCACACATAAACTTAAGCTCAATCGACCGTTAGACCCGCCCTATAGAAGTGGTGTCTTCGCCTTGGTCTTGGTTAACTTCAAATTAAATCTCACACATCCTTTAATCCAATCTGATTACTAAATAATCCCTCTCCACTAACATTTGTACAACCTACCCACATCCTAACTCATCTGTATTTCTTTATAATTGCACTCATGTTGTAAATCCTTTCGGGTTACAATAAAACCATTTGACAACGGATTTTAATAGAGACAACAACATTGAGCAATTTTTTCTACCAATAAATTGACGTGTTATTGACACTCTTTTTTGTAATTATTTTAAAAGTGCTGGTGGCGTGTGCAGAGTTTTTTACAATGTGATAAAAGTAAAAGGTTTGCATCTTAAATCTTGATATCTCCAAAAGAAGTTTTACCGGTAGTTAGCATAGTGGATAAAGTTCTACAAAATAGATATAGCTAAATAGCTGAAGGCTTTATCGGTAGTTAGCATAGTGGATAAAGTTGCACAAAGTAGCTGAATCTATTTAAATTTGTTGTTAAATGAGCGTGGTCGGGAAAGGGGAAGCGCCAAATTAATTATTTGCTTTACTCGTATTTATCTGGTATATTAGTTTTATGTATGTTAATAGTTTTAATGTACATATATATCCTATTAGAATTATAATATCTAGTTTTTCCATAAATATGTGTATATACTATAGTTTCCAATTTAATTAGAGCAGATTAAAGCTTTTGAGTATTTTGATGTTTGTTATTTTTGGTGTTATACGTATTGTATAATAAAAATATTAAAATGAAATAAAACTTGCCTATCTTCGAGCAATTCAAATATTTTAAAATAATTAAATTTTTCGATTGAAGTCGTCGAATACTCGAGGGAATTCGTTTGAATTCGTTTAAACTTGAGCTGCTCAAACATCGTAATACTCGAACACTTTAAAGCAGTGATGTATATACACCTACATAGATATTTCCATATTTTAATATATTTTTGAATATTTTTAGGAGATAATGATGTTGACGAATACGTACCACCGCCAGCTGTTGTTGTAGGTGGCCGGGAGGCCCGAGGGAAATCACCAGCCACACCATCATACAGAAAACCCCCACCATATGTTTCGCCATAAAAAGTGTCAAAATATTATTATAAATGGAAAACAACTTTAATCAACTTTACTTAACTGAAGCAAATATTTAAACTCACTTTATTTCACTACTTAAACAAATTTTGTATGAGAGAAAATTAAATATATTAAAGTTACAAATAACAATTCTAAATTATCGACAAAACAATATTAAACGTAAAAAATGGTATCTCAATGCCAAATATATATATACATATAACTATAAGGAAATGAAATTTTCCCCACGCATCTCTAAAAACAAAATAAATCTAATGTAATTTAATAACAATCATAGTTTTCGCAACTAAAAAACCAACGGAAAGGTAATTCATGGGAAGCCTAAATTAGTGTTTAAAGTGAAATAAGAAGAAAGTCTTGTTTTTTTATTTATTTTTGTGAAGTTAATCAATTGTTTTATGTATTAATTTGCAAAACAAAGAAGTATAATTTTTATTAAAATTTCTTTTATGCATATTTATTGTAATTAAGCTTAATTAAGAAAAGAGAGTTAAACTAATAAAATATACGTCTTGTAAGCTAAGCAGCTTTAAAAATGAAAATAAATCAGTCCCCTCCCAATTTTAGTAGTAAGAATTAAAATTTATACACATATATTTTTATTATTATGATTATGATTAATATTATTATTATTACTATTCTTATTTTTTGCGTAGGTTAAGGCGGTATGTTTTTATACGAAATTAAATTATTTAAAACTATGTTAAACACTCGATAAAAATGCATTTGTAACTAATTTTTAACTAATTGTGTATCTCGTATTTATAGTTTTTTTAATATTATTTGACTTGATATTAAATATTTTATAAATTGACTACAAACTTAAAACTTTTAACTTCAGTTAGCTTGTTTTTAAATAGTTCACTTAGGTTAAATATTTTTGTCGGTATTAAATTTGCCATATTTTCATACAAAACATGAAGGAAAGTATTTAATTAATTGTATTTCATAGAGACCAACCGTGCTTCCCTGTTACTGTATTTTTGTATTAATAAAAATAAACTTTTTTATATCGAAATAAATAATAACATAAAATTTGTAGGAGTTTGTAAGTTTTTATTGAACTTTTGTAATTGTTTTTTTGTTCTATAAGCATAAAGAAAAAGTCAATCAAAACCATTTTCGTCACAATTGTTATTTTCTATATGTACTCATTTATCATTACCAACATTTTTAATATTTTTATATTTATACAAGAAAGAATGCAATAAAGTATTTTTAAGCTGTGGTGTGTTTTAAATAAATAAATATACTGCGCTATTTAATATTACTAGAAAAAAAAACTGTTATAACTTCTGCAACAAATAAATAACTGAAAACAAAATAATGACTTTCGAATTTAGTGTTTAACTTGTATGTAACATTAGCACATAGTTAGTATAATGTTGTCTAAATGACTCTAAAATGATTATGGTAAATAAACTCATTAGTATGCAGCAGTATATTTATTAAGTTTAAAGTTAAAATATCAATAAATAATTATAAATTAAATAACAAAATTGGAAGCCATTGCAATAGTAGTTCGAACACAGCTTTTAAATCGCACACCCAAAACACAAAATTTTAAACTTGTAGTGTAGTTTTAAGTATTTAATAAACAAAAAAAATTGTATTGTAATAAATAAAAATGCGTGCTTTGCATAAATTTACAATTAATATTAATTTGTATGCACATATGCAGTGATTATCACACTGTAACGTGCTACCTAATTTGTACTTACAAATGCATGAATTCATAAACTAATTAAAAATACTTCATAATTTTCAATTTTACTGCCTAGAGCACATTTTTTATAATTGCACAAATACGTGCATTGAATATATAATTTTATAGGCTCATATAATATATTTGCATATGTAAAAGTAATATTAATAATCAAAATACATCAAAAGAATTGTAAATTTAAGTTTCATGGAATATTTATAAAATTACAAAACAAAAAAAAATATTTTCTATAATGTAATGATGCAAATAATTTTTAACTTTAACTGAAGTTATATTTATAAAATTTAAAACAACAACAAAAAAACCGAATAAAAACAAAAAAATGCCAAAGATAAATAATTTTTTTTAATTTTTTTCAATATTAGTATCATATAATTTCTTAAGTTATCGTTATTTCTTTATTTTTATACTATGTATATGAATTTCTAAAAAAATATTGGTTTAAACTATTTTTAATTTCATAATTTTTAATTTTTTAATTTTTATATTAAAATTAGTATTATACAAGTATCAACTGTAATCATATAATTATTATTGTGATCATTGCAACTATTAGTGGATTTAAATATCTGAATTTTTATATATATTTTTTTTATATTAACTCTTAGTCATTCATATTTATCTTTTACTTATATTAAAATTTGTATCATATATGTATTAATTATACAAATATTATTAAATCTAAGAACATAACTATAGATGGATATAAATATCTTTAAAAATAAAGTTATTTGTCATACTAACGTCATATATATTTTTATTATATATTTAGTTTTATTATATACTTGTTTTTATTATATATTTATTTTTCTTATATATTTATTTTTATTATATATTTAATTTTATTATATATTTATTTTTATTATATATTTATTTTTATTATATGTTTACTTTTATTATCTATTTATTTTTATTTTTCTATTTATTTTTGTAAATTTATTTATTATATTTTATTAATGATGAAGTTTAATAAATGTTTTTATAACTAATAGATTTATGAGCAAATTTTATTTATAAATTTTTTAACGGGATTATTGTACAATTGTTTAAAAATTACACAATTTAAAATTAATTTTTAAAATTAAAAATTAAATTATTAATAAAATTAAATTAATTATAAAAAAAAATATTTTATTGTCACCAATATTTTCACTATAGCCTATAGTCATCTTCAGGGTACTGTACTTTAAGAAAATAATTTAAAAAGTTGTGTATTATTTAAACAATTGACTTAGTTCATTCAAAAATATGTAATTATCTTTCTAATAATTTTAATCTTTTTTAATGTTAAATATGGATCTCAAATGTTAGGGCGGTATATTTAAATTATCTTTTAATATAATTATTATTTAGAAAAATAAATTGCAACAAAAAAATTTATTATATTTAATCAATTGAAATTTTTTTGACCATTCAGCTCTGAAAGTCCTAATTTTAAAGTTTTTCTATTAGTTTGAATTTTTACAAAAAAAAAGGAATGAATTGTTTAAGTATCGGAGGCTTTATATTTTGTAAATATTTTAAACTATTTGGTTATTATATGTAAACAATTGTAATTCAAATTTCGCTTTAATTAGATCATTATTAGACGTCATTTAAGCACATGTTTCATTTCTCAATATATGTTAGTATTATAATACATATCATTCCCCAGTACAATGTTTAGTTACATCTGACCAACAACTTTTTCATAATGAAACTATCACTGATTTCTTTAGAGCGCTGTTTTTTAATTTCTGATTTATATTTGGAAAACTCAATAATTATTTCAATAAATTAATTTTTATCTAATTTTTAATAATATTTTTTTTTGTAAAATATAATTTTTCTAAATTATTAGCCGATAAGTTTAAAAAATTTATTTTTAAATTTTAATTGAATTATAATATTTATTTTATTAAAATTTAATTTCTTCTTATTTTATTTGCAATGAGAACTTATATTGATATTATATTAATATTTTTTTTTAATCAATATTTTTTGAGTAACAGTTCCGTCCATCTTATGCGAAATAAAATGACAGGAGTTATTTAATAAATTAATAATAACATTCTTTTTTAATTTTTTGTTTTTAAGTAAACTAGTTTAAATTAAATTATATCTTTATTCTATGATATAAACTAGTTTTATTTCTATAAGTTATAAAATAAATTTTTTTTAATAAATTTTGATACAAATGTAATTTTTTTTCTGTTTTTTTGAATGGAATTTATTATTTTGCTTCAGTTCTCTATCTTTAAACATGTTTCGATTAAAATAAAAATCTACTAAGGTCAGTAGTCGACACCATTTATTTAATTCTTACACCATTTAATATATTTTTGTTAGGTCTCACTTGCCCTATTTGTTTTGATAATCTTAGCCTGTTTTCAAGTCACCAATTCAAAATGAATAAAATTTTTATTAATTAAATTTTTAATCAAAATTAAATTAAATAGTTTGAGTTTGATTGTATTTTTATACTTACAATTATAGATATGTGAAAAACTGTACTTATTGCTATACCTTTGTGAAGTTAATTGAGATAGTGTAAACGTACTGTAATTTATTATCTTATAATTTTGAGATATAAATATCGTAATTAAATAAAATTGAGCTAAGATGTACTAACTTCATTGGAATCACCTTTAATTTGATGGTATTTTTGCAAACTAAAGAAAAGCATGCTATTTTAAATGACAATATTTAATTATTATCTAATTTTTATTGTCTATATTATAATATATATTTTATAGATTTATCTATATCTATTTAAATCACTATCTTTTTATTTGCTTTATAAACAAAATTGCGTTTGCATTATCCATCTAAACTTCCATCTCTCTTATTTTTAATTCAGGTAATTTTACTACACTTAAAAGATGTTTAATTAAATGGCAATATGGCATTTTTCTTTAGTAGATCTCGTGAAGACTCTATATATATCTCATCATTTCCTTAGCGCATTATATATTTCTTAAGTTCGTTAAAATTATATATATTGAAGAAAACAAAAATTATGGTTTTTTTCTTTCAATAATTCGTTTTTACAATAACAAAAATTGTGTACATAAGTATTATTTGTATGTACACTATTTAAATTGAAATTTTTTCAACATTAAGGCTTGAATTCATTTATATGAATATTCCAATATGTAATACAAGATATACAGATAAAATATCCGCCCTCTAATATAATGAAATAAAATTAAAAGTTATGGATTTGACAAAAAATATATACTAAAAAATACTATATAATACTAAGTTTAATATATTTAAA